AGCAGAGCCGATCCGATAAAATGCATGGGTAGCCAGTTCCAATTAGCCAGGTATAATCGGCGAACGTAAGCCTCAACTGGCTGGTTGAGTCGCTAACGATGGATTCGATGTGATCGGTTCTGCTGTGCCCCAGCGTATGAGGTATCTCTGAACCACGAGAGTAAGACGGAAGACATTTCGTTTCTAGCTTCTCAAAGTGTTAGCCGGGCTAACACGGTTAACATGAACTCTCCGCTCCTGGGAGCGCCTCAGATTTGAATCTTTATTTTGAAGAAAGTAATTTCACATCACTTGTACGAAATATAGGCCTACTGAATAATTTCTGAATATGGTAAAGTCTGTCGCTGCATGAAGAATTTCTTGAAATTATTTTATTGTTACATGGAATTTATTTTAGACGTTAGTATGGACGTTCGCAATTAGTTGACATTGGCTTGTTCGAAAGGCACTTCGTAGAAAATATGTCTTCCTCATATTCGGGCAAATATGGCGGTTCTAATTACTTAAGTATAAAACATAGCTTTTGTCGTTTCCAGTCACCACGACGCGGCGATTACCTCAGTGCGTGTTGTAATGATACTACTCCGAAACAGAGGTAATATTTACATTTCCTTTTATCGGTACACCACAGATATGTTTTCCGAGTAGTTAATCGTTTGTTGCCGATTCATTAGAGCGTATAAATGATGGCTGTGGAATTTTGAATAATATATGTGATTTACAGTGCACACGAAAACTTTTTCCCCCCTCGGATGCCGTAATGCCACAAAATGACCTTCCTGTCGACAAATTGCTTTGTATATTTCGACCATGAACGGGAGAGAGACTTAAGTATCTTAAATATGCTCTGTTTCATTTACGGCTACAAGGAGAACAATTTTGCTGATATATTCCCGAATTTCTGAGCCCTAATACGGACCCACATTTGTATCTTGATTTAAGAGCGGGTTCTTAGATTTTTGCGTTGAGACGCGGGTTCAAAAGGTTTTGTTCATCCGCTCCGCCTTAATGGCCTTATTTACTGAGCCTCTGATTTTATGAGCGACTTTCAGCTCCGCTGACATACATTGGCGGGTTTAACTATCGATCTAATTCTTGTCTTTCGGTTTTCACGGCTAGAATTCAGTTTTCAATCTCGCTTTTCCGGGTCGAATTATCCACCATTTCGGAAAACATTGCACTTACATGCGAACATTCTCAGTGAAGATGGCAATTAACCACCACTGGACACTGTCATTTGCCATTTGAATACAGTTCGCACCTCCACACCATATTTTTAGTTATAATATTATCCTCACAGCAGGTATCTCCTTTCCGTGTATTCATACCAAACTTTCGTACGAATTTGTCCGCCATGCGTGGTACGTGTCTCACATAGGATTTGCAGTGATGGAACCGTAGCTTACACGTGCTGCAGGTTAGGATTCCAGCAGAAATCACCAAGGTTAAAGTCATGCTCATAGCTAACAGCGTACCTTGTTTGCACTATATGAGCAGTTTCTAAGCAAATGCTGCAGCATTAGACCGTCTTCACTCTAGTTAGCGACGCTGGTCTTGGGTAAAGTGAAAGCATCAGGGTTTTTTTCGTGTAGTTACCGCTAGTAACAATCAAGAAGTCTATTTATAACGCTTGGACTTCCATTCGAAAGGTAACGGTTTGAATCTCGTAATATGCCTTTTTTTTAATTTATGACCCAAATTAAATCAGAGATTCGTGCATCATGCAGTATTTTTGTTTAGAATTACCAGTGTGAAAACGGAAATGTGGCTTCAACCAAAGGACGTTCTGCTGCTTCGAACTCATTCACATTTACGCCGATTAAAGAGACGTTGACTGATTTCCTTTACCACGGTTGGGCGAAGAATCTCCGTGGCCCTCCACGAAAAGGTTAATATAGCAGTAGCGATGCAGGCTTGTGTGCTGAAGGTACCCGGTTCGAAACCGGTACTTCTGACTCCTTACTGAAGTTTTGTGCGAGTTTCCTCATTCTTTCCAACTGAATGATGAGATAGTACTTCGAAATAGGCCATGATCCCTTTCTACTAAATTATTACCTTCTCATTGTTCGTGACTAGTCTGTTATCTGTTGCCAAAATGTAGCATCTGCAGTTGAAACAGCGTAGTCAAATAACCTGAGTGTGGAAACATCACAGATCTTTACGTTGATATTTTCCGCGGTACTATGGACATTAATGACTGGTCGTGAGTACATTTTAATTGTGTTATATCGCTGCTTATTGTACTCAAATACAGACATGGAAAAGATGAATCTCATTTGTATACTTGGTTGATGCTGTTGTGATGGCTAACCAATTCCGAAACGTGTTACCATTTTAACTTGTGTAATTTAATTAATATGCGCTAAAGTGATGAAATAGTAAGCGTTTATATTACTGTGTCTGTGAGTAGACCTATAATTATGCATTCTGTATTGTGATTATTGCATTGACAGAGCAAGTCTAACTCAGCGATACTGGATCTAATATTTAAACTAGGAAACTCTGGTTCCACTCTCGGCAGGAAACTGGAAATCTCTTAGGGTCGTTTGGTTGTACTGAGTACTGACATTAGGCTTACATTTAAACAGTCCGTGACCTCTTCCATCAGATATTTCGTGACCCACGTTTGAGGATTCTGATATGGCATTCAACTAAGTCTTTGCAGGTGATACTGCATCACCAAATACATAGAAATAGTATATATTATAGCGACAAAGTCTTAATACAGGTCATCCATTTTTATTTTTAAAAATTATATTTATAATGCAACAAGTTTGCTGATGCGGTGACGTGATGCCCCTGGGTTTTTGAGGTACCAGTTCTCTAATTTCTTTCGTTTTTACTCAGTAGCTCTAGGTGGATGTTGGCATAGCTTTTGTATAGGCCACAGTCAGTCTTTTACAGTTCACCGAATGTAACAATCTGTAATAACTACATGTCGATTTATTAACGTTATATTATGTATGTAGTTCAGCCCTTATATATTTTTTTTATGATATAATTGGTCGTGATACAGCTAACCGACGATCTGAAACAAGGAAAGAAGATGAAATTCCAGGAATTAAAACGAGAAGCTGAGAATAGGGAAAACTGGAGAGCTCTTTTTGGGCACAGCAATGGACCTGTCGTCAGACAGAACACTGAATAATAATAATTGGTCTTACAGTATATAAAATCATCACTTTTGCGCACTTGAACACCCATTAAAATGTGTAATATAATTTTTAGTTGCTATCTGCTCGGCCATGTACGTACCGCCGTATCAGAAATTAAAAAGCAAAACCTTTCACAGAAAATGTAAAGTTATTGTCAGATGGCGTGTTATTGGTCGACTTTCTGTTAGGCGTTTTGTGATTGGTTCTCATCACTGCAGAGCGTGCGAACTTCAGAGGCACAGTGCAGGAGAGAGAATAGGTTGAATGAAATGAGTGAGATCAGTACATAACTAGCGCCTCTGGCGGTGAGTGGAAATGGTGTAAGTAAAGTAACGCCTCTTCTCTTACCTGTGCAAAGAAAAGGACTAGTGTAACTTTTCCTAACAAGAAAATAGTGCAATATAGCCTTCGTATGTCAGTAGCCGTTGGTCTCTACGCGCAGCATGTAGTGATCTGCAGTAAGTGATGTATTGGTGAGGTGCTATTAACAATATTGATTTCGTGAAACACTCCGAAGACCTAGCTGATGTGGAAAATTATTTGTTTGACACGTATTATTTCACGTCTTTGTGTGCAATTCAGTGTGCAGTTTCAGTAATTACAATATCACATGTACCCAGTAAACACCCCATTTTCCCCCGTAATATGATGTTTAAAGAATGCCGCATAGATTTTCTCAGTGTCTAATGTAATATTCAGCGGCTGTCCTGATATTAATTTTTAATTTATGACATTGTAATCACTGTTGTGAGGATCTATAATAAGTGCAGTTGTAACAATCGAGTTATCCTTCTGTTAACGATATGCAGACATTTTGAGCGATAATTTGCCTACACTACTATCAGCAAAGCAAGTAGGTCTCTGAAAGTCGTAACAGGCAATAAGTATAACAGAATTGTCAATTTAGTATTTCGTGTTTATAATAAAATACCGGCTGTAATGGTCGTGTTAAAACACTCGTGAATAATGACTGAAATTTTATGTTTCCTATTTCTCGCTTTGTTCACATTGTATCAAGTACACAGCTGAAAGTTTAAATTATGTGAAGCATGTAATAAGTCTAGGCCTATATATATATATGGAGAGAGTGAATTATAAAGTTGCTTTTGTGCACTAATCTGCTAACAGTGATGTAGTTTAAACAGATGTAACGTTCAGATAAATGCATCATTTAAGTTCCGTATATCGATATTGTTAACGTTATTCCAGAAATGCTTTTTCGAAATAATTTTTGATGCAGATCGCTACAAAACCAAAATTGTAGAGTTTCAAATAAAACCATCTTTAAATTTGAAGTACTGCGTTTAAAATACTTTTTAGGCGGTGCATTTCATATTCAAGTCAGCTTACATTTATGATGAATACGGGTCTTGTATACAAAGTTGATGATTTTTTGCAGTACTAAATGTGTTGGAATATCTATTTAATGGAGGCTTTTATGCTTATTAAAAGAATAATTAATATTTTTTATTAGGCGGGCTGCACAGTTCTTCCTGAGCAACAAGAGACATTATGAAATGAAGAATTAATCGAACAGTGTGTAGAATGGTTTATAGTGGTAATGTTGCTGAAAATTTGTGTCTTTTCCCCACAAATGGTCTGTGAAAAGGGCGTACTTCGCAAAATGTTGATTTCTAAACTGTTCATTGGCCAGTGGAGATATTTTAGCATTACAATAAATCCTGCTTTCTTAATTAATAATGTTTCTTATACTCTTGTTTCGACCTCTTCGAATTTGAGAGTTTTATTCTGAAAAAGACGACAAAATCTGAAGTCTAATCAGAGTTGGTGTTGGTATTGTATGATAGACTTGGACTGAAGGCTTTACAACGACGTTATGTGCAGGTGTTCGAGAAACTCTTTCACTGGCTGTTAACGGCGGTGAGCTGGAGGCATGAAATGGCTGTTCGTAAGCTGTAATCACAAGAACACTTCCTTTGCCCTGTAAGACTATCATACACAGCAGTAGTAAATGCGCCCATTGTTTTCGAACTCAATACATTTGTCAGACATCGTCGTAAAGTGCCTTCGATCTTTAAGGCAGTGGAAATTTATCTTAAATAGTGAAGACTCGCGAAAGTGACATCGTTGCTGTGGGTGTACAGAATAAACTGTGGTTGGTGGGAAATGGGGTTCTCTAGGTTTCCGGTGCTCTTTTCGGTAACGTTGCTAAGGTTACGCAATTTGTAGCTGTGTTATGAGCGCATCAACAGCCACTGGTTTGTAGATAGTGAGGAACATTTGAACATTAAGTAACTGGTGGCATGGAGTACACGTGGAGCCTTCCAGAGGACAGTGGTGGTGGCGGTAACACGGATTCCACGGACAGGACGTCCATCGCCGGCGGCCAGCGTCTAGTTATCGACGCCCGGCGTCTTCCACATCCTACGCCAGGTCTGACTTTTATTATAGCCCCTAACTTATTTCTTGTTTATATTATTTTCTACGTGTGCAATATTTATTATTGTTTGCAGGAAAGAGTTTATGAATTTATCAGCTATGGAAATGATTGGAAATAAATACCATCGTCATTATTGATTCATAGTATTTAAGCGTTTGTGTTCCTCTCAGTAACGTATGTTAATCAAATTTGATTCTCCTATCTCTGACCATGACGACCTCGTTGTTAGGAACTTAATGATTTTTAATTCAAAGTTTTTTTAAAAGTATCTTTTGGTGTATAGAAATTCCGTTCTGTCTACAGAAAAAAATATCATTTGTTAAAATACAAAGTAGGCGACTGGATTCCGAGGCTAACACAATCATAGCCTCATAATTTTACTGATTTCAGACTTAAGATTAAGATATATTTCTCGTTCTCCCCGTTTCCCCGAACGCGCACATAAAATCGAATTTCATTCATACCACATTTCTGTGTTACAAAATAGCTTTACAGAGGTCATTATTTTACAGTTATTAAAACTGGGACCGCTTGTCGTGTATAATGTAGAAGTAATTCGGGCCGCATAAAACACCGAAAAGGACAGCGAAATTGACATGCATCATATAAAGAATAATGTAGAGGGAAACTGAAATAATATGACATCGACCTATGTTGAAATTAATTAGCGCAACGGAAGTGGAGGTTGCGTAAATTTCATTGATAATTTTCCTTTTCGGTTCGAATTGTTTCCATTACTGTAACTGTGTTCTTAAAAAAAGAGAATCATTGCTTTGCATACGGTCGCATTTATTTCGAACTTAATCTCCACTTTGTCAGATTTTTCAATAAAGTATCCTTCCATGGCATGTCGTATGTTACAATCCATTGCACCATTCAAGTCTAGCGATTTTTTGTGATGTGTCAGGGAATTATGAATAATCGTGTATAATGGACCTGTAATCATCTTTGTTTGTCTCGAGTTTCCTTTACGAAATATGTAGCATTAGGCTTTTCCGATTACCTGTAAAAACCCTCTTATTGGTAAGGAATGCAGTACCCTAAACTGCCTCCCGTCTTGTTTGTGTCCGTGTTACTTTTGAGACGGCAAAGAAATCCTCGTATTCGGTTGTATGTAATGCTCAAGCCATTTTACGTCATATTTTAACAGGCGTTTATTGTAGAAATAAGGTATAATTTCTAGGCTAAGTAGATAATTATTTGTAATTTGAAGTTAACATATTTCCAGCTTGCCTTGTAAATGGAATGCAAACAGAGACCAGGGTATAGTGTTGTGTTTTAAAACGCGTTGCTGATTGGTTGTAAACATCCAATGTTGATTCATCTGAATAAATAACGCGTTGTTCAGCTATTTAAGTCTGACTGCGTAGTCGGTTCTTTTATGGCTAGTTTTGCTTATTATTGATATCACATGCTATGCCATTTGATAGGCTATATTACCTGAATTTCTTTGAATTCTTGAATTGGTTGAATTGTATTGTCAGTTTCTGCAGGACTGCATTGCGTAACATGCCAGAAGATGGCCATTTGTGTTTTATTTCTCCTTCCTGCATTGTAGTTAATCTGTTAAAATTTTCTCTGATCTGAAATGTGTATTGCAAGGATTGGAAAAGCGTTGTGAAATGCTGAGATTAATTTAAATGTAAGTTAATTTCGTTGAAATTGTGGATCATTCTGCACGAAATGAGAAATAAATTAGCCTATAATTATGTGTAATCAGGGAAGGAACGCCTAAAGTGAACTAGGTTTTACTTCGAATTAATTTTGTCAGGAGGGACCGAAACGCATTTACTTCCGATTTCACGGCGCACAGTCCTGGATTGTCGAAGCAGCTCTGACATTCTTAGTAATTTTCTGTGAACATTTAATTGTGGCTAATTTTTGTAGCTGCGAATAGTCCCACTAATAGACTTGCAATTAACATGTTCATTATATTCAACCAGGCATTTTGTTATGTTTAATAATTCCATAGCAGTAACAAGATTTTTATAGTTTACTGCCATTGTTCTGAAAACGTTGAGTTGACATGCCCCCCCCCCCCCCAAAGAAGTCTACTCGTGACCGAACAGATGCATTGTCTTGATTGACTGTCTTCTTGCTTACTGCCTAATTTTATGTGTTCTTGTGAGTGAACCAGTAGCCTACTATGGGGGGCATTGCACGTTTCGTGCCCACAAAAAACTTGGCTGATTTAAATTATAGTTTGTGTAAAAGATTGAGCACTAACGCTTTGGGGTTTAATGTTAGTCCGACAGCTTTTACATTCAAATAAGAGAAACAGATTCGTGACGCATTACATGAACGTATATTTAAAAATATAGAACTTTGTGTACCACGTAAGGTTAAGTAAACTGAGAAACAAACAACGAGGTATAAAGATGACTGTCTTCAGCGTTCTTGCGCCGTGTAGTGTATAATTTTACGGACGTATCAGAGATGCTTAACCGTCGCCTTAATCAGGGTGATGATCTCCCTGATGATGGAGACAGCACGTCTGAAACGTCGGTAAACTTCTGCCAGATACCAGGGCGCAACATCCCAAAATACTCGATGCCGTTAAAACCTTAAATCTCTCCAAAGAACTAGGTGTGCCTTAAGCTCTTCCTGCACTGACTGTGTTCAAGTACGGCGAACAGTTTTACCCTTACCATGGAGTTTAATTGTTCTGTCAGTAATAGTCATACACGTAGAACTTTGTTTCACCTTTCGAACAGAACATCCTTGCATGAGGACAGAGTAACAGCAATCAAGGACCCCGGAAGGTGTTTCGCTTGCACCTTGCTCCTATAGTAGCTTCTTATTAGTGCCGTTATAATGACAGCGTGTTTCTGCTGCACTTAAGTTTTGTCTTCGTGCAATTGTCACGTCACTTGTTTACAAATTATGAAAGAAAAGGCTCTGCTGTATGAGTTATAAGATACTGTGTTTCTTCGTCGTATTGGCCGAGTGCTTTCTCTGCTTGTTGGCCTGTGAGGACACAGGACTCTGCAGTTAGCCGTAACTGCAGAGCGTAGGGAGGAAGGCATGCGATCAGCTAGTTTCACTCTTTGTAGTGTGTGATGGTCACACTCGTAGAAACAGAGATATCATAGAAAGCCAACTTGCGAATGTATGAATCGTCCTTTGCCATGTTGCTTGTGATGCCTGTATGTTACAGATAAAAATCTGTTGCTGAAAAATTAATTTACAGCACCTGACAGTAAATTGTTTTGTTGGTATAGCTAAATAAATGCACAGATAATATTACAAAAATACATGTACCACATAGAAAAATTGTTCAGGCAAAAGATGTAACATATATCAGAATGTTTTTAATATTTTGTTATTTAAGATTGATGGTACAGTGAGCTGTTTCATATGAACATTAATAAAGATTCTATAAAGGCTTGTCGCAGTGGCTGATTCATTCATTATAGGAATAATCATTATTGTATTGGTCTAATAGTTTACACACTTAGCATTCGAAAGGTCTTGGGCTCGATCCCGACCGTAGTCACTAATAAAAGTAATAATTGAATTTAAATGACTAATAATAATAATAATAGTGTCAGTATTATTACAACCAGTCACCTAAAGACGGAAGTAAAGTCAACTCCGAAACGTCGTGTTTCTGAATTATACCTCACATTGTATAATGTCCAACGTAATGTTCCTATAATAAACACTAACTACGTTTAATTTGAACTTCGTGAATGTATGGTTTTTTGGACCGATGCAGACAAAAATGGATTTGGTTCGGTGTTAACATGTTTGAACACTGCAGGTAGTCGAAATGTGGTGTAATTATCGATAGAGGGAAGTATTTAGAAGATGGCTGTCTTCTGGGTTGTTGCACCCTGTAGTCTGGTAGAAGTTTACCGACGTTTCAGATAGCCATCTTCAAACTCACCGACGTGAAAACCTCAAATCCTACAAATATTTAAATTTTGAGTGCACGTGTTTGCGCTTGTTAAATATTACTTACATTACCTTAACCCTTTTCAGAGAACTCAGAGATATTAATAAAATCCTCTCGGGTTATATTTAGATCGTACATTAACTCAGATATATTTCTTCGTAACAATTTTTTTTTTGAAGCGAACGTTCCGAATCTGACGTCAACGATTCGCTTGTAAGTCATAACGTGAAAAGTAAATAGATTTCCTACGGAAGCAAGTTAATTTTAATTTAATATGAACGCGACTGTGGAGGCGTACTTCTGTTTGTGGTAATCATGTTGTCCGCACGTACTTCGTTATTTTGTATTTCTCATTGATCTTAACTAGGCTATGTAGGTTTGCTGCCTATTACTCCTTTAGTAAAAAAAGCAAATCTAAAACTATTAAAAACTAATGATAGGTTGCTTATACGAGGTGCGATCGGAAAGTTTCAAGACTGCGCGTATAAAAACCCGTACACTTATCTCAGGTATTAAATTCATCCATCACCCTCGAAGTAGTTCCCCTGGGAGTGAACACAACATTTACGTTTTAAAAATGGCCGAACCTCTGTCGATGATGACGGGCGTTCTGGACGACCATCTTCGAGCACAACGCCCGAAAATGTTATGAAGATTCGGCAGGCCCTTCACGAAGATCGACGTCGTACCATCTACGACTTGTGCGACATTGTTGGGGTAGGCTATGGGACCTGTCAGCTGATTCTAAAGGAAGAACTCCACATGCGACGGATCATGACAACGCGCCAGCGCACACCGCCCTCAAAGTTCGGCAGTTTTTGGCCTCAAACACTATGGCCGTCATCCCGCACCCTCCTTATTCGCCGTGTGACTTCTTCCTCTTCCCCAAGATGAAAATTCAGCTAAAGGGAAGGAGATTTGAGACGATAGAAGAGATTCAGGCAGAATCGCAGATGGTGCTTGACAGGCTGACAAAGAAAGATTTCCAGGCTTGGCAGCGGCGCTGGGATCGTTGTGTTCACTCCCAGGGGAACTACTTCGAGGGTGATGGATGAATTTAATACCTGAGATAAGTGTACGGGTTTTTATACGCAC